AATCATAAAAAACATGATTAGAAAATTATATATATTAAAAACATAAACAGCTACATTATAAAGTGAATTAAAATACTAAAAACAGGAACATGTCTGTTGGTTTATGCCATGAACTTAGCAGATGTTTGAAGCCATTTAATTGTTTTATTTAATTAATTTATTCATTCATTTAAAAGAAATAAAATTAAAAAAACAAAATCATCAAAAAGAAAACATTGACTGAAAAGAGTGCAGAAAGAAGAAAAAAAATTATATCTCCCCCTTATTTAAAAAATAAAAAAACTTTAAACAAGCAATCACTTAAATTAATCACTTTAATATCCACTTTAAAACTAGGAATAAAAAGAAACATGTTTTGTTTTAGCAGAATTTAATCCTAACTTTAAAACTTATCCAACATTAATAAAACTTACCTCAAGTTGCCTTTGTGGACATGCATGCATATATTTGTACACATTGTACTTGAGAGGAGATTATTACAGCCTCATATAAAATCAATGATGATATCGGAACTGGATCCGTATCGGTCGATATCTAGATTTAGGTATCGGGATCGGATCGGAAGTTAAAAAAAGTGGATCGGTGCATCCCTACTGATTAGTGGATTTCTTAAGGCTACACAGCTGTTCAGTCCCAGTCCATTGAGTTCCCTTCACATTGTCTGTGTGTGAAAATGTTCTTACTTTCAATATTAAACACAGCCCTGAGTGCTACTGTTGTTCTTGTTGCAGCTGAAAGATAATCACCCACGCAGTAATTATCCAATTGGAGGCTCATACCCATTTGCTCAGTTAAATCCAGGTGGCAACTTTTTTTTGGCCAGGCAGTGTATTATGAAACACTGCTGATGTATCGCGTTTGTTACGCGTCACCGCTGACAACCCAGAAATGTGGGCCGGTGTTGCACCAAAAATCGAATGGCTGCTAAATGGTGGCCACGGGAGCATGCAAGGGAGGACTTTAACAAGAATTTAACAAGATTAACACTTAAAAACAATTATTTGTTTGCTCAAAATTATTGTAAAGGTGTGTCTCAGTCTAACTTTTCCTTAATAAATGCACTTTGAAGGTCAAATCAGCTGCATTTCAAAACACGATTAGCAGTAGAACGCAGGGGGATGAGTCACTGCGCATTTCTTCAAATTGAACAAGATAAACACCTAAAAATAATTATTTGTTTTCTCAAAATTATAGTAAAGATGTGTCTCAGTTGAACTTTTACTTAATGAAATGACTTTAACAATCAAGTCAGCTGTATTTTAAAAATTATTGGCTGCCTTGGTGCTCCGGGAGTTTGCTGAGGGAGGAAATCAGGAAGGAGGAACACTGCACATTTCTTCAAAATTTAGCATGATAAGCACCTAAAACAATTGTTTGTTTGCTCGACATTAT